CGCCGGACAGCATGCAAAGAAAGCAGGCATGGCGGATCTTACTTTCGATGCATGGAACAAGACATAGCATACTAGACAAGTGGAAAAGATGCAGATGCTTCAATTGCCGGGCCCGAGGCCTTTCAAATAGAAAGGAAGGAAATCTTTTCCCCCATCCCGGGATCGGGGGAAGTGTTGCTTAAGGTGTGACGCCATGTCTATTAGCCCCGTTTATTCCCTCCTTTTATTCACTCTCAAAGTCAACGTGACCTCTGATTCCGGTAAAACAAGGCAACAAGAAAGGCATTGAGCAAATTAAATGCGTGGTGCGCGCTATGCCCTGAAGGAGAGTAGAACTTCATGCTTTACCTGGGCATTCCGTATCTCGTGTGATGACTGAAGAGGAAGCAGCTGTGTCCCATAAAAAGCGAGTTTTGCTACTTTAAACGCATAACGCCCCTGCTTTGACGCATAATACGCGTCGCTATGCGAGTGTCCGAGCTAAATCACTTTCTGAGCCAAATAAAAGTTCGAAAAATCAACTCGCATCTCCCCATTGGCATATGCGGCTAAAGAACCCTTGTCCCATACGGTGCCGTATCTCCTTTGGTCTTCTGGGAAAGATAAGCGAACAGTGAAATTCGTTGTTGTGTTCGTTATCATTTACGAATAAATGATGGTGAGTTCATACAACCTCGGTTGTACACTGAAATGGAATGGATGACCTTTCATCATTCGTGGACATCGTTTTACACTTCTCGTGACGTGTTTACATGTACGAACAGGGAAACGGGGAAAAGTTTTGGAATGGTAAGGACTTGAAAGATGACTTTCTGTTCGGCCATGGAAAAGTTTTACAATTGTAATCGCTCTCCTTGTAACCTACTGCTTGACCAGCATCGAAAATGATGGAAATGGAAGGTATTAAAGTAGTTGTGATCAGAGAGGCACGGCCCTCAGACTCTTTTCCTGATTGGAATTTATTGCATTGAAGTAGAGTTAAATAGTTAGTGGCTGCGTACCTGGACCCCATAAATTTTAATCCTTTCCACTAGCTATCCAAAATCAAAGCAACTTCCACGAACGACTGTGTCTTTTGCGTTAGGGTGCATAATACATAATCCAAAGGACTGGGGGAGTGGGGTCCTTTTCCATCACATTGCGATGACGAAACCCTTATCGTCGCCTTCAACCAAGGGGCTCCCGAAAATTCCCAAGGCTTGTACTGCCTTCAATTGCTCACATGTACACATTTTTACCTATTTATAGGTGTATAAAAGGTTGTAGATGGTTGGAAATTAAGGGTTTGGTGCAGCAAGGCTCTATCAGCACGTCTATGGGATTTTTAGGGCCGAGATACTACCCATCCTCTTCCCATCTTGCCTGCTGCCTCCTCTCCCTCTTGGGCTATTTCTCCCTGTCGGACTCGTTGCTTCAAATTTCCAACACTTTGGGCTCCCACATGGTCTTGCAGCAAGCACCATGCCGAGCAACAATTTTTGGACGGGCATCTTCCGGTGATGTCATTGCCATCACGCTTTCTCCTCCTGCCGACGAGACTTTTGATCTTAGGGCTCGGTCCTTAATAGATCTACTTCCAAGGAATGGAAATGAGAGTGCAACAACAGCCACAGACCCTTACGGGCAGTGGAAAGCATTTCTGCCACCAGTGCCCGGAGGGAAGACGGCCTTTGTGATAGGGATTATAAACAAGGGGACTGGGGAGAAGATCGAACTTGAGGACGTGGTCTTTGGAGACGTCTGGTAAGGCCCATCGAGTGAGGGGAGGGCGACGAGCGTCCCTCCACACGTATTGGACAGAGTAAAACGATCGTAACCCTCACGACAATTTGCGTGAAAATGAAGAGAGCAGTGCGGCACATGTCGAATAGAAGAGGTTGATGGCAGGGAGGGATGACACATGCACAAAGACGAAAGCCCTGGGGTGATTGCTGGATATTCGTGACGGCCTATCCAATTTATTCCCCTCCCACATGCCCTCATAGGTTGTGCGCCGGGCAGGACAACATGGCTTTCACCGTCGAAATGTCGCTCGAGGGGGACAAGGAAAGTCGCGATGCTGCTCAGGATCCCTACCTGCGCCTGTACGCTCTCGCCCCCCATCTCTCACCCAGCCCCCTCCTCGATCCCGCCCTCCCTCCCCTCCTATCTTGGTCGCGC